AAATCAGCATGTCGAACAATACTAAATACAGAAAAATTAAACAAAAATGCAATGTACGGGATACTTAAAATAATTGAGCAAATATATCATTTGAACACATACGAGATATTGATGTACGTATATTACAGTAAAAAATGTTTTCTAAATAACACTTACTAAAGTAAAACATGGTAAAATATAAATAAAAATATAACATGTTTATATGGCCTTAATTAGTGAGTAACAATAAAATATACACTATGATATGGGGACCTCATGACTATGTAAAAGTGCTTTGGAAAGAATGCTCAATTGGAATGAGCAAGCCCTGCACTTGAATACTGATATAGGATCATTATTTAATTTAAAGTAAGAAATTCAGTATTTACAATAAAAATGCAAATTAGTTACGCAAAGATACATATGTATGACCATGTAATGATATACTTGCTTAGTTTAGAGAATCGAGTACACACAAAATTGAGATGCATGAAAAATCATAGATAATTCGTATTTATTAAGTTTTTAAATGCAAAAGCAACCAACTAATTATTTAATTTTGAGTTTATTTACTGGCATTAATTAGTATAATCTCTTCAAATGATGTATGTTGGTCATGTAAATATAGCCATACACATTACAACTCATTTTCATTATGATAATTAATTAAATTTAGTTAAGTGGCCACAATTTACTTAATTGGCCACAGTAACATTTAACTATCGTACAATAAATAATAGGACTAGGACCATCTATTAATATTATGAGAAAGTGGGCCTTATACGAATGTACATATGCATATACATATATAAACTAAGTGCTCCTGGTTTGTCTCAAGAAGGTGAGATATTTTAATTTTAAGTTGTTATCCCTGCGTTTAATGCTACAGTTCCTACCCACGCCCTCTTAATATAGATAGGATGAAATCAGCAATCAGATGAAGGCAAATTAGAAAATAAGTTATTTTCTGTGTTTGGTGATGTTTATTTTTCAACATTTCATTGGCTATTACGCCAACCTCATCAGGCTACAAATACATATTACATGTGATGCATTTTATTATAAGAATTTTTCCACTACACGTGATTACAGACATGGCGCAAACAACTATTGTAAATTAGTTTTCACCTTATTATTTGCAAGTATCTGAATTTTACAAGAACATTGTACACTAAAAATTATCAAATGTGTACATATATTTATTGTGAGAATTGTGTGCTTACGCGGCGGCAAACAGTGAAATACTAACGATTGGGCCGTGAAATGTACGTACGAAAGGCCAAGGACCGGAGTGATCAGAACAGATGTCACAAGACATACGCAATTTTGAAGGAAAACGATTACGGGTGATTAAACTTTTGTAATAATGGAAAATGTATATACGATTGAGCAAGTGTGTGTCTTCTTTTTTGTTGATGTTGTGTTTATTGCGTTTTGTGCGTATCATTTCTGAAACAAGCTTTTTTTAGTAGTTTGATTCTCTGTGTAGTATTTTAATAGTGTCCTAATTAAAATTATGATTGTTGTGAAGCTAGTGCAAAATAGAAAACAATAAAAAACTCAATTTCTTAGATCTAACTATCATCAGAAATAACAACCACCTTTAATTCGATTGGTTTCAAAAATCTACGTTCACAGGACACTTACTGCATGACCCTTCGGGTCATCCAAAAAAATCTAAAAAGAAATATTGTATCTAATCTAATCGATCGAACTATATACTACTATCTAACAAACGATATCAAAAGAAGAACAGTACTGGAGTAAAAAAGCTACTCATGAGTAATGGATGCCCACAAGAGTTTATTGATAAAAATATTTAACGCAGATTAAGAGAGCAAATATACATAAATAAAAATAAAAATAAAAGTAACCGCACATGCTTGATTTTGTGTTAAAAAATAGGCTTACCATATGAAAATAAAAACTATTATAAATTATCAGCGATATTCAGACCTGATAATATATACCTACCTGATTATACGTAAAAAATCGAACGCAATTATACGATTCGGTAGGGACAGAACCGAAAAATGGGACTAAACAAGCGTAGTATATAAGTTCAAATGCAAGCATGCGAGCTGCTCGATATGATAGGCAGGGGAAACAAAATGAGCAAAAACTCAAACAAATGAACACAAACATAACAAAAATAAAGAATAAGTGATTTATTTACACCAGCTTCACAACAATTATAATTTTAATTGGGACACTATAAAAATACTAGACGGAGAATCAAACGACCAAAAAAGGCTTATTTCAGAAATGATACACGCAAAACGCGATAAACACAACATCAACAAGAAAGCAGACACACACTTGCTCAATCATATATATTTTCCATTACTACAAAAGTTCAATCACCCGTAACCGTTTTCCTTCGAAATTCGTATGTCTTGTGACATCTGTCCTGATCACTCCGGTCCTTGGTCTTCCGTACATACTTCATAAGTACAAATATATGTACATATTTGATAATTTTTTCTGTTCAATGTTTTTGTAAAACTCAGATACTTGCAAAAATAAGGGAAACACTAATTTATAATTGTTGTCTGCGCCATTCCTGTAGTCATGTGTAGTGAAAATTCTTATCATACAATACATAATATGTAATGTATATTTTTAGACTGATGGGGTTGGCATGATAGCCAACGAAACGTTTCAAAATAAACAACACCAAACAAAGAAAGAATTTATTTCCTAATTCGTCTTTAATTAATTGCTGACTCCATCCTATCTTACTTTTCTCTTTAGTTTTAATTTCAGCTTTGATGCTATATTCAAATCATTTTATAATTTTTAATCTTGTGCCACTACACAAATCATTCGCACTACTGAAACTTTTCATCAGCATAAGTATTGCTCTAGAGCACGTCGTGGCTCAGTCGGCTAAGCCGTGGATTGGCACGCGGGAGACCGTGGTTCGATTCCCGTCCAGTGCGACTTTTCGGGCAAGTACCTCTGTGATTTTTCACATGTGCTTTTTCACCACGCAATTCTCCTCAAGGAGGGTTTAGGTGACCTTCTCGCAGCAAAAATTGTCTAATTTCCCCCTACCCCCTTCTAGTAATGGGATTCCTTCCTATCCCTTGTCCTTTTCTTCTCCCAAGTGCTAAGTGCCCACACTGACAGGGAATTGGTGGGGACTCTTTCTTGTATACAGTAGCACCGCCCCACTACAGCTTTAGTAGAGCAGATCAACCACTTTAGGCGAGCAGTTGCTGGAGAAAACCAAGTAATAGCTCTCCTAGTTGACTGGTAGAAAATAGCTCCCAGTAGCGGGAGCCCTGTTTCTTGAGTGCATACAAAAATGAACGGATATATTATACATGAGAAAGTTGATAGCATAATCTTTAAAAAAATTATTTCAAATTTTTTTTTTTCTGATTCCTAACTAACACTACAAAAAATATTCGTATAAAACTTTATTTACTCAATTAACCTTATGTAAAGAATAATAATTATGAGACTATGTCAGTAACGAAAAAAAGAATGTTATTCTATAAATAAAAAGATTTTATTCAATTACAATCCATATTTAAATACTATGTACATTGTATTATTTTTTTTCAATTAATATACTAGGCTAAAACCTGGTTATTTAGTGAAAAATTGATCCATCAGGTTACTTCTATGTAGCTTATATAAAACTTGAATTTATATACTGCAGTACATTATGTGAGTATCACACCTAAAAGTGGTGGAGCGGCACGACTAGTCATTTGGAGCCACTACAGCTTGGTTTCGGTGGCTCGGCACTCCCATCTGGTAGCAAATAGCCCCAGCCCAGCGAGGATTTTGCCCTATACTACAGAACAGCAGCGCTACTAATTTTCACAGTGTGGCATCCCCGATCAGGAGAGTTTTACCACAAATTCCCTCTCAGTGCATAGTAGTGTCCTTATCAAAGGAACCAGACGTAGAGCACTATAATATATAAAAAAAACTATTTCTCTAATTTTCAAATTTTACTCGCGAGGTGGTAAATCTTCACAAACATAATTTAATATTTCAATGAGAACATTTATGTTAATATGTCTACTATGTCAATAATTGTATGAGTTGCATAATCTATGGTGAGATAAGTTTTTATTTCGTCTGGTAATTTATTCAAAATTTTAATAATTAAAACTCTGTGTACTCATTATGAAGAATAAGTATATCATTTATTGACAATATTTTGATTTGAATAAATATTTTGACCCAAAATTTTGTACCTAATATCAGCTGTTTTTTTAAATTTTTTAGAACTTTGAGGAATTTGATTTTCGTTCCCTCTATCTTCGTAAAAAACTTTGAAAACTATATATCAGTAAAAAAAATAGTTATATTTAATTTTAAAGTCTTCAACATTGACAAATAGAAATAAACTGAGCTAGAAAAAAACGAGACATGCTTTAACGAAGGTTTTCTTTTATTACCTATATTTTGCTGATGATGGTTGGTGCTCGAAGCACGTTGAAGGTTAATGCTTATATAGTATATGTATATGAATCTTCGAATATTCGGTGTAATTTTATTCATACTACATTATTTTAACACCCTATTTGAATTTATGTTAAAAAACCTTGCTATTAGGATAAGTTGAAAGAACATTTTACGTCAAATAGTTTAAGTCAATATTTGTTTTAACAATTCACATACTAAAACTACTCTAGACTGTGAACAGAATCTATTCTAGTAATATTTATTGATTTTTCTCAACTTTATACGATTTACCGTTTTGTTTTCCCTACTTTATTTTTAACCCTGAAGCATTTGCACCAACTTTGAAGCTACATGTACTTAGTTTCATTAAATTGCTTATAAAAAATAGCAAGTTATTCAACAATTATACGGTATTTCATTTTCAAGTTAAATTAGGACTATTTTGCAACCATTTGCTATTATGGCAAGTGTTCAGAGTACCTTTTTCATAAGCTACAGTCTTCCAGCTATTTGAAAAAAAATTGTTTAGATCGAACGACTCTTCTTTGAGATGTTTTATTTTTAAGAAAAGTGCATGTCTTTTGCCACAAATTCTACAGAGTTCTTTTGTCTATTTTGTTTCTGCCGCCCATGAACTCTTTTTCGACCCTTCTCAGTCCTCCTGCAAAATGACGTCAAATTCGTTAGATTTTTCGCTTTTTTCAATGGATTAATTTTTTTTATTTCCCTGTCCTCCCTCCCATTAACTAGAATAGTTTGATTATAAAGTAACTGCTCCGTTATTTAGGTATATGGATCGTTTGCTTAGTTTTACATGGACATTTTCAAGTACTTTTGAGTAAAGCTGTAGTCTTCTAAATCTGGACAAAGCCTTTCTACAGACACTTACATTAACCTTGGTTAATTGTTTGTAAGATAAATTTCTTATGAACATTCTCGAGCACTCTTGGAAGAAATCATCTTCCGAGTATAGTCAGAGCTCCCCCCTCAAAAAAACTTAGGTTATTTGGTTGTTAACTAATTATGGTATTCTTGGATTAACAAAGGAAGTGGTCAACCCTGCTTATGATCATAATAGTGACATTTCTTAAAACACATCCTTACTAAAAAAATATGAAAAAACTAATTGTACAGTATTTAAAGATACCCTATCAGTAATACTATTTGGATGGTACATCGAAAAATACATCTTTCAAAGTGTTTTATGTCAATTTTTTAAAAATGAAATAAACTTTTCAAATTCTCAAGTGAAACCTCAGGTGCTTTCTTTCCTGAGATATCAGATGAGACTTCACCTAACATTTTGAAAACTTTATTTCATTTTTAATAAAGATACTTTTTAAGAAATCTTAGCTGAGATTTCAAGTGAGTATTAAGCATTCGATAGTCACCTAAGATCTCAAGTGAGATCTTACCTGATGATAGTAGACAGGTAAGTTTATCACAAAATTTTCCGAGGACTGCTAAGCAAAAGCAAAGTCTTTCAGTAGACCTCAGAGAATTCCAGCACTCCTCTAGTCCTTCTCTTAAAATAATAGATAAAATATTTTTCAAGACTGTAATGTTTATGTTCTGAAATTTCTGAAACCCCTTGCCCTTACAACACAGTAAAAATATCTTTTATATACTTATGATTATAATAGTGTAAGTTTAATTAATATACATTACTTGTTCTATTATTTATCTGTACATTTATTTAATGATCAAAAGCTTTCTTCAATATTTATTACTGTTGTTATGATAAACATCTTTACAAATTATACAACTTTCTAATAATACATACTAAAAAATATATAGTTTAGATGTACAACACTTTGACGAAAATAATTTTCCTTACTAAATAATGAATTATATGAAGGCTTGGTAAAATAAAAATGAAAATCTGATGTAGAAAGAATTATAGTTAAAACATTATCTGTTAATGGGGGTTACCTTACGAAGTACTAAGGAAGGGGAAATCCTACTAGTATACATCGTACACTAGTTGGGATTCTGACTCCTTGCGTAGTCCACACTCTAGTCCCTTGATAAATAATGATAAATCTCTTAATAATTTATCATTCATCACTGTTAGAAGAGAAAGAAGTGTTACTGCTGATCAGATGCTGAGGATATAATGGGTTACTGAAGATTATTGCTAATTTCTTCTAACGACAGACTATGAACCTCTGCAGAGTCGATATGCAGCGCCAACAACATACAGTAGAGACAACTATAGGGATTACTAAGTACATAGATTATTGTTGAATTATTTTTTTTAATTAAAAAGAGTAGACAATATTGAGTCATTTGTTGTTGATTAGCTATAACTTAAGTAAACTAATTATAATCAAAAGTGCATACAGCATTTTACATTACTACTGTCTGAATGTCTTAGAAAAAATTAAATAAATTATTCATTTGAAGTGAAAACACTGAAGGATATTAGGTTTGTTACTTACATATTATAAATAGTAGGGCCACGCACATGTGTGTACCTACAAATCATAAATGCAATCTATGAGCGAGATGTAAGATAAGGTGGGCGAATACGAATAATATCTAACACGTACACTCAAAAAAGCGGTACAGTGGCATAAATAACGCGAGTAAAAGAGAACTCGAGCTTGAAGCAAGGGAGTCAGTCAGGAACGGGAGCTCAAGACCTCTGATAAGACTCTGATTCAACCATCCTAGAGAGACCTTCTGGATCACGTCAGTAGACTTCAAGCACTGATAGAGAAAGCATTGCACTTTGTGTGCAATAAAGAATTTGACATTAATTTCCAGTTGATAACATATCAGCTGAGTGGTGGTCTAGACCCACTCACTCTAAGGCGCGAAGTTTATCATTTTTCTTTGGGTATTAGTACATCTTTGTTGGCTACTTGACAAGTTTGTGCTCTTTCAGTGTTGCGTGCTCGATGTTATTCTTGTGCCATCTCGGACATAACCTTACACTTAGTGTGTATTTAAGGGCGGGATGTAAAGCCCAAATAAATAATACGGTAATACACTAACTCTGTGATGATCTAGCTTCGCGCCGTTTAGGGATATGCGTACCCATCTCGCTAAATACATTCATGATTGTCACGTCTGTACTCCTCTTGATCTCAGAATAATTTTAAGGATGAATGCAAAGCCCCATCCATGGACAACTTCTACTATCCCCATTCCTCGAAATACCGTAATCCCAAAAAATGGGAGTTAACGATACACGATTAATTACATAAAAAAAAGTTTGTACAGTCAAGAGTATTCGATAGTTCTATAATAAATTCTAGAGAGTAAAATAATGTATTTAGAAATTATCAGTAAAGAGAATCCCAAGTATTAGGGTTCTTTGGGTTAGTTGCTCGAGACGCAGATAATTTGTTTTATGATTTAAAGTGGCTACACTTAAGAGTTTTGGATTACTTTGTATTAAATTCTGAGGATTAAAATAGTTTTTCAAATAATCAAAAGTCTATTTACTTGAGTGTATCAGGTTTCTAAGTATAAAATGCTTAGGGTTGAAATAATCCATTAGATAATAAAGTTTTGGATCCATCTATATTACTATTTTGTACTATTACTGCACAATTCTTTGTAGTAAACACCATCCACACTTATTGACCTAACAGACCTTTTAATAGACCTACTTTTAGTATTTATCATAACGTGACTGTGGTGTGCTATGCAGTACTATAATACTACAACGGGCAGTAGGCCGTCGTCTGCTCTCACTTATGGCACTTGGAATAGGCTGGAGAGAGCTTGTACGATGACCAGGTACAAGCAAATGTGAGTGAGAGTAAGCAAAAGAGAGAAAGAAGGTATCTAGAATTTAGTTATCGACGTTAGCGTGAGTGGCCTGCAGAGACGGGCTGAAGTAGTCTCGGTATCACACACGAAGACACAAGTACATCGCACATATAAACGCGAGACTACCTGCTCATATTACCAAGTCACGCTAGTGGAGTGACCTGCTACCAAGCCAAAACTTTGGAACTCTGAGATCGAATGGACTGAGACACGGTGGTGACCCTGACCGATGAATCTCGAGCTCAATACCTGCAAAGCCCTTGCGACACTGCTAATATCGAGGTTAAGGCTACTATAAGGCTACGACAAGCTCTACGGCTTTCTCTCCGTATCCAGCCAAGTGCCTTTAGCGACCTGCATTAGAAGGCAGCGGCCCCTAATCCTGCTAGCCACCCCTACCCCATAGTTATAAGCTTAAGCCTCCTTTTGCAATTTTGACTCTTCAATAAACTATAGTATTGTTCTTTTCTTAAAATATAAGGATTCTCTCTTATAAGAGCATACCTCCGTGCGTGCCACCTCCTGCCATTAAGAATTTAAGCTTATCGAACGGACCATCCAAGGTTAGGGGACGATAAGCTAGGATCCAAGCATTGGCCTTGCCCCCAGCCGTCGCGGGCTCTTGTATGTGCACAGGCACGAGAGCAGCCTGAGCCAGCCTGCAGCCGAATGAGCCCTTTAGCCAGCAGACGATTTAGAAATCAGAAAGCGGATATCGAGTCCACATTGCTAACGCAGGTGTCGCCGTGGGTCCCCCGGGCATCACTGGCTCGGTCAAGAATGTTCACTGAATTCCCGCAGCTAGAGTCACAATATAAGTCATTACAGTTGTACAATATACGGTAGCTTTCATTATTAATCTTTCAAAAAGAAGACATTCTTTCAAATCTGTAAGAAATCTGATCGGGTCGTGCGATATATCGCAAAAGTTATCTCTTGATTAACTATTTTCACATGATAGGATTGTAATGTAAATTTATATTGACTCACCGGTTTACAGTCAGTTATCTCATGGATGAATGTATGATAAGGGTCTCATTTGTAAAATGTATGAATTACAAAATTACATTACTTCTGACTTACGTTAAAGTACAATAGGTTAATTATTAGAAAACATACAAGCAATTGATATTGCTCATTTTTAAAATGCCTAGTAAATACGTATTTATTGTGTACTTAGTAGCGTTATTATTTTCATAATTGTTGTCATGTTTAAAGTTAGCATGTAAATTCAGGCCTTAATACTTTTGATATTTTTTTTTGCCCTACAATTTTTAGTGAAAAAAAGGCTAAATTTTTTACAAATACCATTGTTTCCGAATATTGCATACTTATACAAGAAGCTCTGTAGTGATAAAAAAATGACAAATGTATGTAACGTGCTATAAATATTTTACTATATTAAGCTTACATCCAGCTCTAGACTACGTTTACATCTAGCTCTTATTTTAAGTTTTACACAGAGATTACCACTTTCAGTGTGAGAGGCACAGGAATTCTAAAAACAGTATGGTGATCTGTGAAATGTTACTGAGGGAGGGGGGTGTAAGACATTTAAAACTGGATTAATGATAATAAAAGACGGATTTTCATCTATTATATTTTCGAACAGCACTGAAAAGTAGATAAAAAATGTAAAAATTACATTTTTACTGTGGAATGACTAGTAAGGAAGCATGAGGGCTCCTTAAAATGTGGTGAGGCGGTAGGGATTATGAGTAATGATGGGGTAGTACGAGGGCTTCAGTTGTATCTTATATGCTTCTAATAACGGACAAAATAAGCGATTTTTTCCTTATTTTTTGGAAAGTTACCAAGATGTTATTCTTGGCGGTAGGGGAAATACATTTATGTAAAAATTAAATTCATGTAAAAATAATTATATAATGTAAGAGGACACATACACACAGAAAGCAGATTGACACAGAAAAGAAGTAAGGAAGCTCTTACTATATCCTTTACGAAAATCTGCACAAAACAAAATAAAAGAAAGCCAAGCGTTACTCATATTCAAGCCTGCGTTCATTTGTTTCATTGGTTAGCGCTCAAAGTTCTGCTTCAAACCTGAATAGCAAAACCTAATTTTTTTCAGTCGTTATAATGATCTTCAAGCAAAAAGTTATACACTACATCGTATTGTAATCGGTTGTTCGAAATTCTTATATATGACTAATTATAGAAATACATTAACACATACATGCACAGGTGGATATTATTACAAAAATCATGTCCTTCAATTCTTAAACTCAGAAAAAATTGTTATAGCACGTTATCTACATTTGTTATTTTTTAATCACTACAGAGTTTCTTGCATAAGTGAGCAAAATTAGAAAAAAAACGGCGTTTGTAAGAAATTTGGCTTTTTTTTACTAAAAAATTAAGTGCACAAAAAAAAATAAAAAAATAACAGTACTAAATGAACAATGAATACGTATTTACTAGGCATTTTACAAAATCAACAACATTAATTGGTACACTATGCTCTAAAAAGTATGTTTTCTAATAATTAACCGGTTGTACGTTAATGTAAGTCAGAAACAATATAATTTTATAATTCATACCTTTTACCAATAAGACTCTTATTATACATCCATCCATGAGATAATTGACTGCAAGCCAGTGCGTCCACATGAATTTGGATCACAATCCTATCATGTCAGAATAATTCATTAAAAAATGTAACCCACCGTATCAAATACACTGCACTTATTTGTTAGTATGTATTAAAAAAGAGAAAAAATACAGTGTGCTGAAATGCTTCTAATAATTTTGCAAAATGTATACTTTTATTATATAAAAGGCGAAAGTATACACATAAAAATATACACACCAAAAATACCTTAGAAAATACAGCGTAGACAATCCTTCAGAGAAACAGGGATAAGTAATAAAACGTAATTTTTTGTAATAAAGAATTATAGACAACAGTTATAGAACCACGAACATTTTTCTAAAACAAATATCTAAGCTAATAAAATATAAACGCCAGTAAGGAAAACAGGATTACAGTTCAAATATATCACGTGAGTGTAGACTAATAACTGAAGGGAGTAGATTAATAACTAAAGATTGCTTACAAAGCAAGCAAGATATTAGAAAAGGCAGCCAAGAGAAGAACTAGCGGAAGTTGAGACGAAACCTACATCTACACCTCTAGAACTCAACCCTCACTAGAGTTAATTATTAAAATAAAACTCACAGAAACTACCTACAAGAATTTTTGTTACTTCATCTCATATTCGATAAAGCCTACGTTAAATGATTCATATGTTCTAGTTTTAATAAGCAGTATTAACTTTCATGCTCTAAGAAAATATTGTTTCTCATATTTATTACAAAAACGAGCAGATAATTTTTACTATGCATTTTCCCTTAGAGATTTCTTGCTTAAAACGGCACTAAACAACGAAGCTATTTTTAATACACAAAAAGATTCGATTATTTAAGATTATATGGATACAAAATAATAGTACATTATGCTCTGAAGAGTATCCTTATTGAAAAATTAAAATGTTTTGTGTTCTTCAATGGAAAAAAAAACTTTGACTTCATTTGCTGTTGTAAGGCTCCATGTATTGGCCTCATACTCAAAAAGTTTAAAACTTTATTTCACTATTAGATATTTCCTAATATAAGTACTTAATTTATTGATAATCTGTTTGGAAATTTTTTTTTTTTTTATGATCATAAGTGGCGGCAGATTTGTCAATCAGCTATTATAGTTATGAGCATACAACTTTTAATATACTTACTATGATTTGGAGATTAGGTAAGCATTCTTCATGAAAAGGATGTTTGCAATAAAACACAACCAGGTTTTTGGGTTCTGCGAAAAAGAGAAATATAGAAGTACAGCATTAAATTTCATTAAATTTTACTACTAATGACTAGATAGTGAGTATCTAAAAATTTCTTACATACCTCTAAAAATTAATTTTCTATGACAAGCACCACACATTTGATCATCTAAAAATTATATTTCGTTACTAATAAAAAAAGGTTTAGAAATTGAAACAACTACGATGGGAAAATAGTAGCATTGATTCACTCATACTTACCATCAATAAAAATTCCTTTCTGATGGCATTTAACGAACTTCTTATGCAAATTGAAATAATCATTAGCAAGAATTTTTGTACAGCCTTCTTGAACTGATACTTGAAGGTTGTAATCACACATCATTTTCACTAAAGCTTTTTTCAATCCAGGAATTTTTAAGTATGGTTCGATCCTTTGAACAATAAGTTGGGGATCGACATACGTTCCAACTCTTTGAAGAAGAAAGGTAATAGCTTCTGTAGTTATAAAAAACAATGTTTGATAAATTATTTTTAAATAAAAGCTTAAAAAGAATGTATTTTTTTCGTGACTTTCTAGACTCATGGTCGCTGTATCAGTATTTTAATTAAAAATCATGACACTTTGGCTCCACCAGCCAAAATACTGGAACCCTATTTAGGTACTGTAGTAAAACGTAACATATTAAAAAACTATTATTATAAACAAGAATTGTCACTACATTATAACAAAGCTCAACAAAATCAGCTGTGACCCTTATCATCAGATCGGTGACTGCTTGTTTATCTTAACAATACAGAGCTTTAGCTTTTTCCCGTTGTGAGTTTATTAAGTTACCGAATTTTGCTCTTTTACATCGTATTTTAAAATATAGTCATGTTCACAAAATACAAAGTTATTACCACCAATATTACAAAAATGCTAAATAAATATTACGGCATAATTTCTTTAGTATAAATGATGACTTATTACTATTTAAATTTTATATATTATATTTATCATTTTTAACATAATTTTTAAATGAAATGTTGATAGAATGACCATTGGTCCTGCAAGTAAAAAAATTTACACTCCGTTATGAATATTTTTTTCTTTAACTGCACGAAACTCTACAATCAATTATTATTTATTTATTTATTGTACTGATTATTAAAAACGTCATCATACAGGTAGCTCAGTATTTTACATTTACCATTTTAAGTGGATAAAAATATACATTTCCGATTGTTTTTGCAGTTTTTACAGTTGAAAATTTAAAAGAATCAACGTTAGAATTAGCTCATCATTACCTGGCTTTTCCAAGGAATAATTAATTAAATCATTCCATAACTCTTCATCATCTTGTTCTTGACAAAACTCAATGGCACTTTTCATGTCATTAAGCTCTCGCGTCATAAGTTGCAGTGCTTGAGAAGTATTTCCAATACGCCCCAACAAGTATACCATCTCAGGATAAAACTGTCTTCTACCACAAATGTCCAGTGCTTCCTGAATAGGGTAGTTATCAGAGCGTCTTAGAAGAGGTAAAAGCTTATCTCTGGAATATTCTGCATACAATTTGACAAGTAAGTCATGGTACTTGTTTTTCGAATCTTTTGTGTCATTTTTATCTAAGGCATCTAAATACTAATAAATCAAATTTGAAAATATAGTTTTAAGTAGTTAATTTTGGTTATTTAATGTTGCAAATTTTATACTTACCATGTGCAAGTATCGCTGATTATTTTTAAGTTTACAAACCACAACATCGGATGGTACCCTTTCCTTCTCAAGAAAAAATTGCACTGCCCTTTCAGCATCTAAATCCATTAGCTCTTCTATCATGTCATATACAGAATGGTAAAGCTGATGTTTTTGAATCAAAGAAAATACATCCTTATGTTGGAGTTTCAGATACATTGCCAACGCTTTGTCATACTTATTATCATAGCTGTATAAAATAGCTAACGATTCAAGAAGGATACTTTGTTTCTCGTTTGTGTGTTCAAGAAAATAATCTAAGACCATATTTATGACAGATGCTACAGTATAAAGATTAGGTGACCATTCTTTGATAAGTTGTAGAAAACCCCCAGGATTAAGTTTTAAGAACTCATGTAAAACAATTTCATATATATGTGGGTCTAAAGAGATATCACCCCTGGGAAGATATTTTGATATTGTCTGCAGCTGATGTACCTTGGCAAATTTATAAAATATCTCTTCCCAAAGTTTCTTATTATGTCTACATACTATTATGCACAATTTTCCAGCTTCATCAAACTTTCTATTATCAATCAAGTAATCTAGATAGACATAACCAACGTCTGTCAAAGAATGTTTACAATCTTTGTTTGTGTTATTTCTTACAGCTTCCAAAGCCTTTTCAAATTTTTCATGGCGCATAAGCCATTCGATCCTGTCATCAGTGTCATATAAACTGGCAACAACTATGTCCTTTGGGCTTACTATAAAAAATCTAAAATAACATGCATTGTTAGTAAAAAAGCTTAAAAAAATAAATTTATTTAGTATTTTATAATTTAATATTGTATGAACTTATGTGTCAAGATAATTTTATAGCTATGTATTTTGTAGGGTTAGAAATTAAATTTTTAAAACTGCTTTACAATGTTAAAAACCATAACATTATATTACGAACCATATCCTTTTTGTTTATATTTTTTTTACCTGTGTACGAAATATTTCAACAAAATTGGACACGAATTTTTTTATTTGAAATAGAAATTATCACGTATTATACAGTAAAATAATTTTTGTTATTGATCTATTTAAGGATTTAATTTTTATAATTATTTTACACGGTTATGTGAGCTATTTTATTAATTTATGAAGCTTTTAATTTACTAACATTAATTTTCGCTCCGGTGCATTAATATTAATGTAGCGGTTCACAACAAGAATGAAAAATTTTTAATCTCATTTTTTAATTCTTTGTCAAGGTTAAAGTGTAGCAAGTTCCTGTTTTTTCCTGATTAACACTTACTTATGTGTGCCCTGATGCTATTTACCTAGTGTAGCACGTTTGTCTACTCTAACCATTTGTATTGCTCCTCTTTCACTAACTTATACTCATTTTCATTATCTTTGTAGACCTTTTTATTGTATGCACATGTGTATCACAACTGTGTCTTGTAACTAACGCGTCAAAAAAGTGAAATACAGGATCGATATCTATAACATTCTTGTGATTCAATTAAAATTTTCTTGAGAGAATATGAATTTTTTCATTCATGGATCACTCAGACCTCATGAATACGCAAATTTTTCAGACTGAAATTACAAATAAACTGTTAATCCGAACAGACCAATAAATAAGACCAAATGGATAATTTTGATAAGCCACATCGGCACAACATGGTATTATAGGTGTCATTTGTCTTACTTGTCAATATAGTGCCGTTACGTTACTTGACACAATACACAGGAATTCTGTTAGGTTATGGAACATGTTGGAAAGTATATTTTTACTCAGTTTCTGATAGTAAAAATGAAATTTCATAGAAGTAACTAACATGCAGAAAAATAAAAATAAAATAAAAAGTAAAAGAGAAACTAAGTTTATTACTACTACTTAGGTGTTTTGGAAAAATTTCAATAGTCGTCATTTCAAGTTTATTTCTTATTTTTCTAACAAGTTAAAACATTATAAAAGACAAAATAGTGTCAGGTATTTTATTAGATGCTAAAATCATTATAAACTTCGTTTTTTTTTTTTTCGCACTCCACGCATTTATCCTCCGATAATAGTTATTAATTTATTGCTAATTTACACGAAAAATTTTGTAGTTTATTGAACGACCAAAACTAACAAAAATTAATGAGTCAGAAAATAATAATACTGCTCAGTCAAAAACTTGTAGCTATGATTTTTTATTTTTTTATTTTTATTGATCATCGCCCGTAGGCTCAGACATGGCATTCTTTTACACAAGCATAGTGTTAATTATCCATCGGTGCACCTGAATTATGACCCCCCAACAAAAACTTAAAATATTTTGAGAAAATGTCATAATAATTCTATTTTTATGAAAAACATTAAAGAAGGGTAGATATGGGGTAATTTGCCCATCCCACAGCCCTCCTTCACATCTTCCCACAACAACTTAAAATGTATTGTAAACATATTTTATCGTAGGGTTATTATCGAAAACTTACCTCCACAGCCCCTCCACATCCCCTAAAGTAACTAATAATCTTTTGCAAGATTACTTGATGATAGGGACAAGAGGATTCGCTACCATCCTTCATAAAAAAGTTAGAATTTTTTCGAGATGTGTGTTATTTTTTATGCTTGTAGACACCTTACCTCCACTGTACAATAACTTCAATTTGCGTTTCTTCTATTTCATTAGATTTTGTCTAAATAACTTTAATCAAAAATGAAAACTTTCTAAATAAAGATAGCTCATGAGGTGAAAAGTCTCAATTGTATATCGAATTACATTACGTTTGAATCGTTTTATATAGTACATATAGTACATATAGTATTTTTAATTTACTTAACACAATTTTTCTTCAATCGCGATGGCATGCAGAGCGTGCAAAGACCAGCTTTTAATAAATAATTAATTTGTCAAAGTTATAGAAAAGATTGTAAAATAAAAAAAAATAAGAAACGGTTTAATTTTACTAATCAATTTTAAACTAGAAATAAGGGGTTAGCACGCGTAGCGCGCAGGGGGGCGTAACTTTACTAGTATATATTGTACCGTGGTAAGTCAACGTCTCAGTAAAAGCAGAGGTGTAGCAATAGCAGACAGGAGGAGAGGCGGTACACTGCATGCGATCCCTAATCGATCTAAGGCCCCGCTATCTATACCTATCCTTAATATGGGCTAAACGGCCAACACTCGACCGTGCGCAGAGGTTGGTATGGGTGTACACCGACACACACGGGCGGCTGGGATACCGAGGCAGCACCGATCGGCGAGCTGGCAGGAGAGACACTCTCGCTCTTGTCTGCTTATCATCGTGACGCACATTGAGAGGTTACCGAAAGCGAAAAGACGATACATCGGTTGCGTGTATGAGTGCCAGTTAGACGTGCTACGTACCAGGAGACAATATGAGGCGGAGCAACTGCTACCTGTTGACGACTGGGCCGGCTGCGATTGCCCCCACACGCTACCACTATCGAGGATTGTGCCATCCGAGTGCTGACGCCTGCCAAACGGATCTCCCGGTGCCCGTGTCTAGAGCTGCAGCGTACACCTATACAGGAATGAGAACGGTAGCCCTGTTTCTTTTCATCCCATCCCTACCACGAAAGCACTATACCGAGCAGCAACTGCCGAACCTGCACCCACAGGGCTGGGTTTGTGTTTGCTAGACCATGTTGGATAGCTGGGTGATATGATTGTTTTGTGTATTGAGTATAGTGGTTGATGCAAAATAAAAGCACTGTTTATATGCGGAAATAGAGATCCATTAGGACACATAATAGTGCCCACTACCCGTCCATCCTTCAAGTCCTGCCGAGTAGTGGTTCTGTGCCATGTCTTGCTGCTGAATGCAAGGCGAGCAAGGCACGACACATTACAATATATATAGAGATATCACCCC